TAGTAGTAGTAGTAGTAGTAGTAAATCCCTACTAGTACTACTCTACTCCTATATCCTTTTTCGACTATGACTACGACGAGGACAACGACGTTGACTACAGCTACGACCACGACGACGACGCATTATTGATTCGTTAATTATTTGTCGGAGAAAACCTTGAATTTTCGTTTGCGTTTTGAAATTCAATATGATTGCATGTTGTTTGCTGGAATTCAGAAATTGGTTCTCTGAGTTTTCTGGCTCCAAATTTCCAAGTGATCATCGGGACTTCGAAGGCGTTTACCGTTCATCCTTGGTGATGCAGTGCTGCGAGGTGCCCCCACCCGAAGAGAAAGATGTGATCGTCCATCAAGTGATTGCGGAACCAACCACTGAGGGCGGGAAGGAGTCTCAAGTGGTCCCCATTGTTGAGGTGCCTGACAATAAGGCTACAACTGAAGAGATAGAGTATGAAGACCCGGTGCAAGAGGCAGGTGCACAAGAGCTGGTCACCCAACCTGTTGCCCCACAAGCTTCCTTCTGCAAGCTCTTTTCCCAGATGGATTGCGTAGAGCTGCTGGTCTTGACGGTGGGTCTCATTTGTGCGATGTGCCACGGAGTAGCGCAAGCACTTTTGGTCATTATCTTCGGTGACCTCATTGACGCCCTTGGTGGAAGCCCGGATGAAGTTCAACGGGAAACGGAACGGCTTTGTCTGCTGATGTGCGCCGTGGGTGGGGGTGCCCTGGTGGCTGCCACGCTGCAAGGGGCCTCCTTCAAGATCTTGTCTGACTCCCAAACGATGAAATATCGTGTGATGTACTTCCAGGATGTACTTCACCAGGATGTCAGCTGGTTTGACACAAAAGAAGTGTCGGCCCTGTCGGCGGAGATCCAAGACGACTTGGCCAAGATTCAAGAGGCTTTTGGAGACAAGTTCGGCAACGGGGTGATGGCACTTTCGGCCTTCTTGGGAGGCTTTGCGTGTGCGTTTGGGCTTGGCTGGCTCTTGGCCCTCATCTTGTGCGCAGTGCTTCCTTTCATGGCCCTTGGCACCTATTTTGTAGGCAAGGCAGTGGCGCAGGTTCAGATGGAGTCCCAAGGCTGGTACGGCAAAGCAGCTTCCGTGGTGGAAGAGTGCCTCCATGGCATGCGCACCGTTGTGGCCTTCGGCGGTGAACAGAAAGAGCTCGAGAAGTTCTCCCATGCCGTCGCCCAAACACGCAAGGGAGGCGTGCGGAACGGCTTGCGGATCGGCTTTGGGACCGGTTCCTCGACCGTTTGCAAGAAACTTTTTGGGGAAGCTACCACCAAGTAGACCATGAGTTTTGTTTCCATTCTTTGCATACCTCTATATATAAGGCTACTCTTGGTTTGTGGAGTATTCCAACTATGCCTTGGCCTTCTATGCGGGACTGAACTTCGCCTACAATGGGGACATCAACCCCGCCACTGGTGAGACCTGGAGAACGGGCGATATCATGTCGATTTTCTTGTGCATTTTCATTGGCAGCTTCATGTTGGGACAAATCGACCCCAGCATCAAGGCAGGTTGTCATATCAAAACTGCTACAGACCAATGTACAATATTTGGGTTGGTAATCTAGTAGTCTAGTAGTCATGGTCCCGATGGGTTTTACGACCTTTTTTGGGAGGTTTTCTTGAGGATCTTCTTGTTTCAACACGCGCACCCATGCATATTTATGTATATATATAATATATGTATATATATATATATATTTGTTGAAATTTTCACCTCTACATAAGAGTCCAACCAGACGCGTTGGTATACGTTTTGGCTCAAGGGCAAACAAAAGGTGTTTGCTGAGCATATTTTCTGAAAGTGGTAGCAGAGCTTCGGCTCGGTAGAAGGGATCCTTGGGAAGTGAACCAATGGCGTTAGAGGCGCAGGTACGACAGCTCCAGCAGCAAATGCAGCAGATGAGCAACGAGTTGCAGCAGAGCCGGCAACGTGGGCAAGACTTGGCAGCAAGGATCGGGACGATGGAGTCTAGCCCAGGAAACTTGGCTAATGTATTGCAAACGCTAGCAAACACCCAAACCCAAGTAGCAGAAGCCTTGAAGAAAGAAGACAAGAAGATGACATTGATTGACAACCGTGGTATTGGGAAACCAGGGAAGTTTGTTGGGAAAGAAGATGAGAGTTTCTTGCGTTGGAAGATCAAGCTAGAGTCGTTTGTTTTGTCGGTGTTTCCGGAGTTGGAGAAAGTTCTATGTTGGTCAGAAGAAGAAGACAGACCCATAGACATGGACCGAGTTCGGACCGACTTCGGTCCAGGCACGTCCGAAGACATAGAGGGGTTAGGAGGCAAAGGATCACAACTGTACTCGGTGTTACAAAACCTACTGGAAGGAGAAGCATTCATGATCATCAGGAACGCTCCCAAAGGTAACGGTTTTGAAGGTTGGAGGAGACTCAACAGGAGATTTGACCCCGCAACCGGTGCAAAGAAATCATCACTACTACGCCACATCCTGAACCCTGAAAAGAGCAAACTTGAAGAGTTAAGCGAAAGGGTTGAAGGATGGATGGAACTCGTGAACCGATACGAATCACGGAAAGGGGCCCGATGGGTCAAGACAAACATTGCAAGATGATATAAAGATGTCCATACTAGAAGCAATGTGTCCAGCGGAGATTGAACGCCATCTCCAATTGAATCGCAAAGGTTCCTGGATTTCGACGACATGCACTCCGAGTTGGCGACATACCTGGAGACGAGAGTCGGCGTCAAGTTGAAAATTGAGTCACTCGGCAAGAGCAGTTTGAAGGATCCAGATGCGATGGAAATCGGAGTTTTCACCAAAGGAAAGAACAAAGGAAAGTCCAAAGGGAAAGGAAAGAAAGGTAGCGGTAAAGGAAAAGGTAGCAAAGGTAAAGGCAAAGAGTATCATGACCAGAAAGGTGGAAAAGGATCATCAAACCCTGGCCAATCTGGTTCAAATCCGGCGTCCGCGGTCTGTTTCAGCGGCGGCAAGCCGGGACATTACCAGAGAGACTGTAGATCCAAGGGGAAAGGCAAATCAAAAGGAAAGCAAAGCAAAGGACAAGGAACGAACATGAACAGCATCGAAGACAACCCGACCAATGAACCCGAAGCAGAAAAGACCCTAGGTTTCCTAGAACTGTCGATGCTCATGGCGGAGGATAGCGAACGTGAGGTGCCCAGAGTAGGAGTGAGTGAGATGACCCGGAAGCTTGCAAGAAGGAGGTACGGAAGGGTGCTTCGAGAAGCAAATCCAATGACCTGGCGTGACTACCCGACAGGTACCGTCAGAGGTTGGCAGCTAGCCTTGAGGCAAATCATGGATTTCGAGGAAGTGTTGCAATCCAGATGGCAGCAGATGTTATGCGTGCAGAGGGGATGAATGAAGCATGCAGCAGCTGCGATGACAGGAACAAGAAGCTCACGAGGGCAGCCAAGGAGTTTGCAACAGGCAGAACGAAGATCCCGAGAACAGACGAGAAGGTCTACAGCATCGATGAGGAGCTCGAAGATGACGAGATGACGAGTGTGAGCGAAGAAGAAAAGGAGGAAGAAGAACGCTATGAGGAAGAGACGGAAGAAGAAGAGGATGTCGAAAAGGCCGAAGAAAACCCTGAGGAAAATGAAGAGCCAGATGTAGGATACGAAGGTGACGCTGATGAAGAAGAAGGAGACGAATTCTTCGAAGCCTACATGAACGAAGTGCGCAACGTGGAAGATGACTGCAAGGATGACATGGTCGAGGTTTTGGCTGAAGCTTGGCAATTCCTCTCAAACGTACGAGATAAACTTGCAGTGGATGAGGAGTTGGAGAAGATGCCAGAAGATCCACGGATAATTAGCGCTCCCAAAACGGAGCCCCAAAACGCTCCCGAAACGGACCCCAATTCAAAGGTTGAAGAAGACGAGAAGCAGGAACCAAAGACAAGATTGCCAAATACAGGACGACTCGTGACACGTATACGACATCAATCCTGATGCATGGAGATTGGGAATTTGGCATTGGAAAAGAGAAGATTGGTGCAGTACATTGAGGAGGAAGAAGATGAAGAAGAAGTTCGGAGGTATGAGAAAATGCTGAAAGAAGTTGAAGAACGTTTGAAGTACCTCAAAGACTATGTCTATGTCAGCAACCAGGACAAGGAGACAAGGAAGAAATCCATGACTACGTTGACCGAGGAAAACAAGAACTCACAGGAATGGCACGACAGCAGGTACTACAAGGCAATTGAAGCAGGTGTGAAGCATCACCGTGCATGGGTGCAAGAGAAAAGCAGGAGACGAGCAACCCTACATCGAAAGAAGAGCATGGCAGAGAGAGCCGAAGAACGACAGCGACTTGAGGAGGAATGGATCGCTGAACACCGTGCAGGAAAGAGGAGTCAGGACGACTACCAAAAGGCAGACACCGAGAACTTGGTGAGTACAATGGAGACTGAGGTGATTGTCGAAGCAGAAGAAGGAATGAAAGTGCAGAAAGGAGGAAAGAAGACCTCTGATTTCCAGGAGAAGATTGTGAGGAAGCCACTGAGTAAGAAAGAGTTGGAAAGCTTTCGACAAGAGCCAAAGGAAGAAGAGAAGAGAGTGATGGCAAAGAAGAAGGCCGACATCTTCAAGAAGAGAGTTAGGAAGATGACAGATGCACGGAGGAAGAAGAGGAACGGAAAGAAGAAATTGAAGAAGAATGCATATGAACCATGCAGAGCACTCGGATGGACAGGCGAGTGCAGCAGAGGAATCTTTTGCACATTCTCACACGACCAGAAGGTGATCGAGAAGTTGAAGGGAACGCATTGCCGATTCTTCATTCATGGAAGCTGCAGGTTTGGCGCAAAAGTGCAAACTCCTACACAGTGAAGAAGAGAAGGAGTTGGTGAAGTTGGAGAAGTTTGTGAAGAAGCTTGAGACCATCCAGGAAGAGCTCGAGAAGGAAGGAAAGATCTACGCAGAGATGGAAGACAAAGAGGAGGAGATCAGGAAAGGAGTGTCGGAGAAGTTTGAAGAGGGCACGCATAAGAATCCTTACGCGTGGGAAGAAGTTGAAGTGGAAGTTGAAGAAGAAAAGAAGGACGAGAAGAGTTTCACCGAGGAGATCCGCAGTGTCGAAGACAGGACGCCCCGCGGTACATACGATCCAGCTGCACCATGGAGGAAAAGAGAATACCGAGACTTGCTTTCGCCCGAATCGAATGGAAGTGAGTCGAAAAAGGTAAGTATGAAATCTAATTTTGTGAGTTTGAGGTAGGCCACAAAAATATGATTTTATATTATTTTCTTTTATGATTTTGTTATGTTTTTTTTACGTTTTCCTTATGATTTGGTTACGATTGGCTTTATGAAATTTTATGATTTTTTGGTGGGTTTGTTTTTTGGATATGATTTGCTTATGGTTTCGTTATGCTCTTTGAGGTCTGCAATTTCACATATACAGAGCCTTTTGGGTTGCAAAACATGGTAGTTGAGATGTGTGTTCAGCCAAACTTGTGGTGTATTTTCACAAGATTTCCTCTGCTACAAAGAAAGAAAATACATTTTTCAGAAAAACCTGGTAAACTGCGAAAAATCTTTGTTGTTCTGCAAGTCTCTCGGTCCGTTTTCTGGTTGGTTTTAAATGCAACTAAAAACTACTCAGGAATAGAATAGTCTCTATTGTATGATGGGTTTTGAGAACTAACTAGTGACTAGTGACTAGTGTTCCCAAAGGAACCTCTTCACTAATGAAGGCAGAGAGGAGTTGGCTTTCATACATGAGTTCACACCTTTCCTAGGACAGCACACCTGGGTCTAGTACACACCTTGGCCTAGGGCCTAGGACAGTAGGTTCTATACTAGGCCCTAGGCCCTAAACTACCCATCCACCCATGGCCTGGGACCTGGGAACTGCAAGCAATCCATATCTCAGAACCATTGGTCGTCTGAAAGCGTAACAAAAACATAAGAAATCCATAAGGCCCTGCATAACGAAATCATATCAAAATCATATCAAAATCATATCAAAATCATAAAAACATGGGTCTGGGAATTAGTTTTATGATTTTGATATGATTTTGTTTATGATTTTGTTATGATTTTGTTATGGTTTTGATATGGTGGGCCGCAGGTGGTCTCACCCTGCCTGGGTCACCTCAAAAAATTTGACGCTTGAGGTTTAGGGTTTAGGGTTCAGGCTTTAACCTTTGGCCTAGGGCCTAGGACACGCCTGGGGGAGTACACCTTTCCTTCGGGTCACTAGGACAGTACACCTTTCCTTCTCTACTACACACCTTTCCTTCGGGTCCTAGGCAGAAGGATTTGTAAGGCAATAGCTCAATAGCTACTAATAAGCTAATCAACAGAAAGGACGCCAAGCGTCCCTACGTTGCTTGGGCATGAGCATTGGGGTGCCTCCTTGGAATGTTCAACAACTTCCCTTCGCTGGTGAAGCTTACTTACTTAGTTTCTTAACCAAACCACTATTTTTCAAGTATGCAAACATATTCGCACCATATTTTCACAACTATATGGCGATCTTTTTGAAGTACTCAAAAAACACTCTCAAA